AAGCCTTATCGCGCCTTCATTTCTCAACAAAATTTTCAAATTTTCAAAATAAACTTAGTTTGCCTTGCTACACAGTTTAGACTTAAAACTGGTTTTCATACTGAGATTTCCCCTGAAGATCTTCAGAAGTCTTCTGGAAAATCTTACAAGGTACCATTGAGTTTTCTACACGTTTGTCTGTGCGATGTGATGAAACACTTCAAACTAAGTTTATTTTGAAAATTTTGTTGAGAAATGAAGGCGCGATAAGGCTTTTAATTTAGTACGGTCACAGTGGAAAAACCGTATTTTGTGAAAAATTGGTCTTTTGTAGTTTCCTTAATCTGGACAACAAAACACATATTGGCACAGTAATCAGCGTGTCCAATAGCCTATGTGCCATGTGTTTTTAAGGTACGTTGAGCTCAGGTTTGGCCAATAGGCAGGTGATCGGAGATTGTCTGTAGTGTACGAACCATGATAGATGGAGCTCTATGACTGGTATCATTGTAAAGACGGAAGTCTCTTCTATATTAGAGGCGAATTTTGAGCGTAGCTCACTATGCAAAGTCTACGAACGGCGAGCTCGGACTTTCTCCTTCGAAAAGTACACCATGGTAGAACTGTTCTGGAAGCTTCGTTATTTCATAGATCGTGTCAGGATAACAGGATTACTAGTAAAGTTAGAAAATAAGGGAGTCACGGGCACAATGGTAGAATAGTTTAAGAGTTATTTGTGTAACAGAAAAAATATTATAGTTGTTATTTTAAAGCTTGATTTTGAGCTCATTCGATAGAGAATTCATTGCTCTACGAAACTGTCGACTTTGTTTCTGAAACAAGGTTTTCTTGTGGGCACAAAATTTCTGCAGGCATCTATCAAATAGACTAGATAATGTTGGCTTAAGGCATCAGAGAATCTAGTAGTCATAAACATAAGAGGCGATGAAGCAATGAGTTTATTCAAGCTGTCCTTACGACCTTTTACATCATCCATTCGCTTTCTATGTTTTATCAAGTTTTCATTGAAGTGAAGATCACATTTTTTATCCTCTTTTCTTCTGTATAGTACGAATACTGTACGACATACGGACAAGTGATTATAACATTTTTTATTCTCTTTTCTTCTGTATAGTACGAATACTGTAAGGAATACGGACCCGTGTTCTTCAATGTGAATAACATTTTGTTTGCTATTCACCTAAATTTGCTTATTTAAATAAATAAATATTTATACAATTAATTGATAAAATGTCTTATAATGTTTATAATAACATGAATCAGGCACATAGAGATTGTTGATGCGATGGTAGTGAGTTACAACAACAATTAGAACAATTTCATAATCAAAAGAGAAACCGAGATTCATCGTCATTAAAACGTCATCTGACCAATTTAGTCTTCGTAGACAACGAAATGCACGCATGGGAACGAATCTGGATCTCTGGACATGGATTGATTAAATTCGTTCATCTGAAGAACCGGTTATGAGTTGATATGAACACTGCAACGTTCTAGAAACTCGAGAAACGTCTCATTCTTAAATTCAGGATTGATAAGTCGCACTTTTTTTCGAAAGGCTGAACCCTAGCGAAAGTTCTTGGGTACAACAATGTCCCAAGATCTTGCCATCTCTGATGCAAGAAACAATCTTTTTACCATCTTTATCACCTTTACAAGAAATGTATTTCTTGCCTTGCTGGCAAGAAAAAAGCAAAAAATTGGAACGACAGGATCGAGATTCGAACTCGCAATGCAGTGCGATAGTCTAACTTATAATATTTAGAGTTCCACGCTATACCACTCGGCCATTCTTCTTCGGTATCTTCTTTTCTTTCACCAGTCTGAATATGAGCAAAATCTCAAACTAGTTATAACAAAAAAATGTACAGAATCAAATTCTAAACAAAATAGAACACCACCGATTATCCTATAGTTTTCTGGGGCGTTAATCAGCGAGAAAAACGCTAATTTCAATTTCTAGCATTTTGTATCCAGACGGATTTGACAAATTTGGTCCCGCAATCAATATTGTCAGAAATTAAATTTCGCACATTTTATCTTCTAGTACCAACTTTGTATGATATTTTCGCTACAAGAAACGACTTTCTTGCGGGTAATCGTCACAATAGATTTTTCTTGCAAGAGCGTAGTTTCCACCCAAGAATCCAAGAATCATTTCTTGCCCAAGAAATGTCCCAAGATCTTGCTTTCTTAGCTTCAAGAACTTTCACTCGGGAAAGAAGCAAAAAAATAGAAAGCCTGCTTTTCGTCCGACCGAGGATCATTCAACTGGTATCATGCCCAGCTTCGATCATCCCGTTACATGTATTTGACAGGTTGTTGTTGTTTTCGAAAGACGGTTGCAAGCACTTGAAACATCATCTTAAATGCTGAGCTGATCAATCGCTGACAAGGCTGTGTAAGAAGAAAGTACCTAACTACTAGTATGTTTCGAAAAGTAAAGCAAAAAAAAAGTTTATAAAAAGAACTAGCGCGATTAAAAATACAAAAGAAGTAACAGTTTGCACATTATAGTTAGTCTAATAGTTTAATATTCTTGCTGTATAAAGTCCTTCCTTTTTTACTACTGGTGTCGTCGTAAAGGTTCCGTTCTGTGGCAGAATTAAAGGATAAAAGTAAAGTGATGCCGGTAGACTTGTACATTTATCACCAGCATGTTTTCCACAGTGGAATTTTATAAAGCCTGATGTGACTAATGGTTCAGGTTCGTCGGTTGCGATCAAATCAAAAAGAACACGACGCAAGGCTACTTTGCCTTCGTCGTTGCAATCCCATACGCCGAGAACATTTCCGTCAGGAGGGAGGCCATTTTCAGTAGGCAAGGAAGCATAGATAGTTCCACTAGGATAGAGACTGTAAACAACTGTGGCGTATGGTTGTGGAGCATCGGTACGATTAAAAGCGATTGCATATTCACCGCTGTATTTATGATGACACGGTTTTATTCCTGGATGATGATAGAGACGACTAGCTTTGAATGCTGATGGTGCTCCGTTAAAAGTGAGAAGTGTACCTTTTTGGAACGGCATAAGTTGATACTGTAGTGGATAGTAAAACTCTTGTTGAGCTCCAGAACAGTTTTCGTGGTCTGAGTTACACTGCATATAGAATGTCGAAGAAACGATTTTCTGTCCATCCGTTTGAGTATTAGCAAAATACGTGAAGTAATTTGTTTGCCCACTCGCTGTGTGCGGCTTTGTACACTCCCATTTTCCTAAAAAGTGCGAGAAAGAAATCGACAAAATTAAACAGGGCTGCTGAAGCGAGCTTTCCTTTACATACCAACACTTGTGCCACGATTAAATGTCCCATCTTCATTTCGACTATTCGCTGCAGTACTAATCACATAACCCAACGGATCGAATGCAACTATACTAAAGGTATTATCATCATACTGAATTATATATGTACCAGCTAGTTTACCGTAACATTTATCTGCATCTCCTAGAGTTGCATGTTTATACAGCCGTCTAGACTCAAACTTTCGGTGTGTCTTCCCACCTATTGGACCTGGAAAACGTCTTGTGTTTTCATCAATTGGTCCAATATGAAACAATTGACTGTATGCTATTCCATTTGAACAGTGTACTTGTCGATCACTGCTATCATCGATAGCGCCTTGACACTTGACACTTGAATGTATAACATTAACACTTAAGTTTCTCTGTTGATAACTAATGCCTCGAAATTTTAGTTGTTTGTTCTTCTTATTAATCTCGTTACACTTGTAAAAACCATCGGTATCACCATAGTAGCGTAGAGCATTCTGTTTTTCATTTGCTTCAATTGTCAAGGCACCACCACTAGGGAAATAGGCGACGAGGGCATAATCATCACCGATATCGTTGTATCTGCGTAAGTACACTCCGCTTATGTCGTTAAAGCATTGTTGTTGCGATAATAGTGTAACAGTGCCAATAACAGCCAAGACTAATGATAAAACGAACGAAATATTCGAGAGCATCATAATCATCATCAGTGTGTCACAATTCGTTTATTTACTGTAATAAAGTTTGCTTATCGAACTGCTACATTTTGTATATATGTATACGTTCAAATATAGTTTGCATCGTGCTCTCTATTTTTCTACTTTTTGTGTTGTGCAGGCACTATTTTTTTCCCGTTCGATGTATTCTAAATATTAAATGCAGCACAATAGACCTGCGAAAAATAGCGATTTTCTTTTCTTTACTATTTCGTTTTCTGATTAACGTTATACATAGTGTGTAGGAACGTTATGCGCTTTATGCAGATACGGCGCATAGGTCCTTCTTTTCTTTTTTTCATCTATATATCATGTTTGTATGTATACATCATATACGTGTATATAGTGATGTCACTCTTTTTCTTATATCTTAAATAATTTTATTGTTCCAAACGAGGTTAGCAATATTAACATTATGGTGTTACATGGCAGAATAAATAGATAAAGAGAAACAAACATAAACAAGTTACAAAAAATACACTTTTGGCATGTAATCAATCAATTTTATTTTAAGTCAGTGATGTTAAATGATAGTGGTAATGACAAAAAGTTGCCTAATAGCTTTGACTACGTCACACCATGAAAATTAAGTTTGACGAAAAAAGTAAACAATAAAATAAAAAGGAAAAAAGAGAAGAAAATGGTTTATGATTACTGATATTGCAACTATAGATGTTTACGCGAGGCACGTTTGAAAGCTCGAATTGAGAATTCCGAAATGACCTCTCCAGGCAATATATTCCATTGGGAAATTGTTTTAGGTAGAAAAGAGGAATTTGTGTTCTTTCGTTTGGATTTTGGTACCTCCCAAGCACAACGATTTGAAATTCGCTCAGATGTACGAGTAGTTAGAGGTTTTACCAGGGAGAAAACAGATAATGCAGTACGTCCTATAGTCATTTTGTGGAAAAGGACTAATCTGAAATATTTTCGTCTAGTTTCTAAATCTGGTAGCTTCAGTTGTTGAATAAGAAAAGGACTATTAGAGTGATAGTTGTTAGTGATTATACGTACAGCTAACTTTTGAATAGATGTTAACAAGTGACGATGTGTCTTACAATCGTTATCAAAAACAATCGAGCAATAGTCCATCACAGGAAGAATACATGCTTTGTATATATGAAGTCTTATAAATTCTGGTGCATGTTTAAAAGTTCGATTTACCGCATCTAACATTTGTCTACACCTTTTACTAGTTTCTTCTAAGTGATGTTTCCAAGTGAGATCTGAAGAAAGGTGTATTCCTAGTAACTTGATGTTTTTATCAAGTGAAAGCGCTTTTCCTGATAGATACATTGAGGGATAATTTTCTGGTGGTTTAGAATTCGAAAACGGCATATAAAAACATTTCTCTATGTTTAATTCAATATCATTTTGTGCACCCCAATCCAGACCTGGGCAAAATACTCGAAGTACTCGTACTCGAGGTACTGATACTCGTACTCGTACTTGTACTCGAGGTGGTCAGTACTCGATAATATAATATTTGAAATTCCAGATGAAGTGTGTGTTATCTATGCGAAGAAAGTCGTGAAGAAGATTTACTTTTTTCTAAAAAGCACATCTATCCAAGATTATATCAACTTCCTCTAAAATATCTAACAGTGCCTGCGACATCGGCTTCTATCGAACGTGTTTTCTCGCAAAGCGGTTTTCTGATGAGACCACATCGAGCATCATTAACGGCAAAGAATGTGTGTCTACGAACTTTCTAAAATGTAACAAAGTTTTACTTTGATTCCATTTACTTGAAGGTTAATAATACAATAAATTAAAAAAATGTTTTAACATTTCGCTTTATCAATATTTTGTTCTGATATATATCAAATAACTAAATAATCAAATAACAATCATTATTAAGAGAATAACTAAAGAGTTATAGGACTTTTTTTCCCACAAATTATTTTAGACATTCATAGTCATACCTGGTTCAATTGTATCTGTATTTAAAAAATTGGTGCTTGTACTTGTACTCGTCTCATACTCGAAGGCTCGGTACTCGTACTCGACTCGTACTCGAAGCATTCGTACTCATACTCGACTCGTACTTGAGAAATCCCGTACTTGTCCAGCTCTGCACCAATCTGATATAATATCAAGGAATTTTTGGACTACTGTAAAATCTTGAATGTTTTGTAACGGGATGAGGCCGAACACATCGTCGGCAAAAAGAGATGCAGTAACATTAGGTGGAAATGTCTGACTCAAGTCGTTGATAAAGATTAAGAACAAAAGTGGCCCCAGAATACTTCCCTGGAGTACACCAGAAGTTACATTTGCTGCTTTGGATCTACCATCATTTATAACCACTATTTGTTCACGATTGGTCAGATACGATTCAAACCATTGAAGGAGCGCACTGGTCACGCCTGCCCTAGCTAGCTTCTCTAACAAAATTCTATGACTAACCCTGTCAAACGCTTTAGCAAAATCGAAAGCTATACCAACTGCTATACCCTTTCTTTCTAATAGTTTTGCCAACTCAATAGTAACATGTAACAAAGCATCTACCGTCGAGGAATGAGGTCGAAAACCAAATTGTACATGCGAGAAAAAGCCGGTTTTATTCAAGTGATTGAATAATCATTTTTGTACCAACATTTCAAACACTTTGCTTAGATTTGATAATAAAGATATTGGCCGATAGTTGGAAGACTGAGTACGAGATCCTTTTTTGTGAATGGCTCTGATTTTTCCAAATTCTTGGAAAGGTTCCCTGCTGAAGTGAGACTTGGAAAAGATGATGCAGCTGCGGTGATACAACATCGGAACATAGCTTTAAAAATTGTACATGAGTCCCATCAATTCCGACTGACTGCTTATTTTTCAGCTGCTTAATTATACTATTAACATCCGCAACTGAAAAAGAAATAGAACTTAAGTTACCTTGCGTACGGTTTTGTTGATTAGTAGTAATAGTGTTAGTAGCAGAAGAAGACTTGTAGCAGCTAACGAAAAACTTTGAGAACATTTCAGCTTTTTCGTTATCTGTACAGACATGTGTATTTCCGTTTTCTAATCTACTAGGATAATCTGAAATGCCTTTTCGGAATTTATTAAGACTTTTTCAAAAAAGTTTGGAATCTGAAAACTGCGCTTTGATCTTACAAAAATGATGATATTTACCTCTGCGTAGTGCATTTAAAACCCTGTTGCGTATCTTCTTATATCCAGTCGTTTTTAACAGTGTTCGTTGACGTTTCATTCCGTGAAATTTTTTATTTTTTTCTCGAACTAATTTTCTTGTGGTTTTTGAAGGTTTAAAAATAGATTTGTTTTTCAAAGATACTTTTTTCAGCGGTACGCAAGCTTCTATACACGTAGAAAAATGGTTCAAAAGTATCTTCATTTTTTCATTTACTTCATTAGAAAGATAAAATTTGTTGTCTGTTTGGAAGATCATCCTACGAAGCAGAATTATGTCGCAGTTCTCACAATCTAATCGTAATTTTATCTTCTTTTTGCTTAAGATCTAATTGAAAGTTAAACTGAGCCTCTAACAAAAAATGTGGTGATTTACCCAGTTCAGGATGAGTTTTTGTGTTCGGTTCATCCCACTCTTTTGTATAAAATATATTATCAATTTTTGTGTTTTTGCAAGTGGTAGAACATTTAAAAGCACGTATTAAAGAAAATGTTTGAAGTATATCTTTAAAACCTGCCGGAGGACTTGACGTATTTACGTTGAAATCACCAGCTAGAATTACAGGAGCATCTTCTTTGTATTTTCGAGAAGAAACTTCGAGAGATTATGATAGTCGATTTTTTTAGAACGCGGAAGACGATAGATATTACAAAAGTGAAAAACGGATGCATTAATTTCTACTTCATGCAGCATAGCCATAGCTCCATTAGACGTAGCAACAAGTGATTGTTGAATCTCCTGACTTATGTATGTTACTACTCCTTGCGACCTGCACGTAAAGTCATTTCTGTACAGCAAATAGCCCGGAATAGAAATTTCCTGGTCAGAAATGGAACTATCTGTAAAACTTTCCTGAACTGAAATAATTGCCGGTTTTTCTCTAAATGACATAGGGTTCAGTTTCTCGATGTATTTTGGGTGGCTTTGTATGTTCCGAGAAAATATTTTTAAAATAGCTTTTGATGTTAACAGCGGTGGAACGAGAGGATCAGCTGAATTCGTAGACAAAACTTTCGAACGTGCCTGTGTTAGTCATAAATACAAGAAATTAGAAAAAGTTTGATACATTAAAGGTGCGCCCCTCAGAAATCATAATTTTCGGTCAATAAATTGATTTTGAGATAAGCGCATACAAAGATAGCCGGAAGTGTCTACTTTCAGAATATACATGATTTAATACTATATGGATGGTTTCTGAGGGGGTTTTCAGAGGTTTTCTGGAGACCGCTTACGGAAAACATATTTTTTCAGCCTAATGCTTGTATTTGACGTAAAATATAGACATATTACATATGAGTGGAAAGTACTCGTCGAGCTCCATCTAATGGTGCATTTGGCGCCGCCTACAGCAGGTTTTGCTTGTAATTAATGTGAAAAATAGGCATATGATCTTTGAACTGAAAGTACTTATTAAGATGCATTTAATAGTGCATGTGACGACATATAGATATATGGCGTGAATTTTAGAGCAACTTTTTCAGCATTTCTTCGGACCTTGAGAAACAGCTTTTCTGTAAAAATCGCTTCTATGCAAAACCGCACTTTTTTCAATAACTTTTGATAGAAAGCAGCTAGAGAGCTCCGATATTTTTCATGCAAAAGAAGGCACTTGTGGGCATGGTTTCATAAGCATAATTGTTTTCTGAAACAGGTTTTCTAGGAGATCTTTGAAAAACCAGGTCGTGTGTAAACATTTTCGAATAGGATTGTATTCATCCTTTTCCATGGATTGATCGCCCGGGATGTCCTCTTGAAAATGGGAGTCAAACGAGACCTTGATTTTCCGTTGCTCCGATGTTGTATTGAGTTTCCTACGGGTCCACGCTGAGTCTCGTGGCAATAT